GGGAGGGGAGAGGGAGGAGGGGGAGGGGAGAGGGAGGAGGGGGAGGGGAGGGGAGGGGAGGAGAAATTGAAGGGAAGAGGAAAGGAAGGGAAAGAGGAACAGGAGGGGGAAGGGAGCAGCCTCCAAGGATTCAGATCTTCAATTCACGACCAATACTCACTTTACTCCTTTCCAAGAAAACAGCCTGTCGGAGCTGAACACCTCCTCAAATCGTCTTACTTTGTAGGGGCTCATCCTATATTCAGTTGTCAAGAGAAACATTTTTTCAGATTAAGCCGTATTAGAACCTTGGAGCTATTCTGAACATTGCAAGTAACTTTGAGGACCTGAGTGTCAAACTAGCACCTTTAGGTGAGAGCTCCAGCTGACCCCAGGCTAGAGAAGCTCAAATCTTAGCTCCACTACATACCCTGAGGCCCCAGGCAGGTTGCTTGGCTCCCAAGGACCTCGTGTCCTCATTGGAGCAAAGAGTGAAACAACAGGCCCCAGGAAAGACCAGGGGATTACCACAGGGAAGAAACCTGAGCAGGCTCCTATGAAACACTGCAGCCCCACATTCCTGTGAGCTGTGCAAGTCTCAATGGTCTTGTTTTCTGACTCCTAAAGAAAACAGTCTAGCCACTGATTCCTAAGGGCACTGTGCTTCATTCCTGCAGCAGACACTCGGTGGACATTCCACTATGTTAAGGGTCCCTGAGCAGCTCACACTCTCAAGCTTGGTTGGAGGACAGGCTCCCCACACAACACAGGTGAGGCTTTGCCCTGCATCTCAGCAGATCTGACATGAGCGCGGACCTTGGCTCTGGGGAACAGTGACTTGGTGAACCACTTACTCATAGTGAAAGCCAATGTCGTGGTTGCCCGCGACCACCTTCAGCTGCACATGACCGGGATGTCTGAACATTTGCCGAAATCGTGCCATCTCCTCCTCCCAGGCCTGGGGAGACAGGGTCACTGCTGAGGGCCCAGAACCCTCTCTTCCCACAGCTGAAAATTAACTCTCGGGTCCAAATCAGATGCTCATAAAGCTCAAAAAATTGGGCTGGCTGGGGCCCAGTGGCAGAGCACTGGCCTAGCACATGTGGGGTACTGGGTTCAATCCTCAGTGCCTCATAAAATCAAATAAATAAAATAAGGTTAAATTTAAAAAAAACTTTGACTTTTAATTCTTCGTAATACCTCTTTCCCCAAGACTACTACAATAGCTTTCATCCTTTATTTAATTTGATGCCAAATCTTAACAGATGGTGTCTTCCTCCATCTTTAAACATTTTTAACTGGCAACTCCCCCAAATTTTTGGTTCAGGCACTTGTTATTCCAATGTCCCCAGGCACAGAGCCCCAGGTCAAGAAATGAGGAGAACAGACTCCTGGGAAACGCTGACTCTTAGGTCCACAGAGGAAGCAGACAAAACCTTTATTACAATAAACATTTCAAGTATTCTGACATTTATGTTAACTATTTTTACTTGCTTTATCTGGCTATGTTACCCAGGATGGCCAGGATGGCCTCCAACTCCTGGGTTAAGTGATCCTCCTGCCTTGGCCTTCCTAGGAGCTGGAACTACAAGCACACACCACCATGCCCAGCTCCTCCTTATTTTTATAAGGGTAAAAATATCAATTGGATGAACACCCTGGGTGGGCCAAAAAGAAATCAACAAAAACAAAAAATAAATCTATTCTGGATAGTAACAACTTTATCCTAAAAATGTTAAATACAGTATACGATTCAACATAAAGAAAAGTGCTAGATAAAGCCCTTCCTTTACAAAGAATTCATGGTAACAAATGGTATTTATTTATTTATTTTTTTTTATTTTTTTTTTTTTATTTATTGTTTAGTTATTGGCAGACACAACATCTTCGTTTGTATGTGGTGCTGAGGATCGAACCCGGGTTGCACACATGCCAGGTGAGCGCGCTACAGCTTGAGCCACATCCCCAGCCCCAACAAATGGTATTTAAATTTAGAATAACAAATCTAGGAAATCATAAAATGTTGCTCTTAATTTGCAAAAGCAACATATAATCTAATTGAATAACTAGTTGTTATTTACATACAACATTTCCATTATCATGTTTAAATAGAGCCTATATTATAACAAACTTGCAATTCTGTAAACAGTAAGTTCCAATCACATTTGAACCAAGTTGTAGCACTGTTCTGGGAAATACCAATGGATTTATAAGAGAGATCTTCCAAATAAATCCTTTCAAAAAAAAAAAAAAAAACCATTAGTGACTGAACATTTTTAACTAAGCAGCAGGAGGAATCCTTCATTCATCTCCAGAATATCATGAGCAGAGCCTTCAGCCAGCTAAAGGGAGAACAACCTCTCTGTCTGGTTTACTGAAAGGCTTACATCACACCAATACCCAGGCATATGTCTGGGGCCCTCTGAAAGAAGAAGAACCCCAAGGCTCCTTCTATGCCGCTCACTTAAGAAAGAAAATCAGAGGAGAGTAGCAAGGAACATTTGTAGCACAATTCTCATGATGTAGCAACTAAATAAAACAGGGCTGGGGTGTGGCTTGGTGGTACGATGCTTGCCTAGCATGTGTGAGGCCCTGGGTTCCATTCCCAGCACCACTACCACCACCAAAAAAAAAAAAAAAAAATGTGTCCCATTAGGTGTCCATTTCAACATACATTCTGTAATTTGGTGACCATTTGAAATAGCAGCCATCCTGCCCACTTTTCCCTTTCCCAAGAGGTTAACAGGACTATGAATTCAAGCCAAGCAATATCTGGCCATCCACACATTTCCTACCTAGACAAATACAAGATCAGGAACCTAATTCAAGGTTAGAATTGTGACCTGGATACAGGGGCGCACACCTGTGATCCCAGCTACTCAGGAGACTGAGGCAGGAGGACTGCAAGTTTGAGGCCAGCCTCAGCAACTTGGTGAGATTCTGTCTCAAAATGAAATAAATAGGCTGGGGATGAAAATCAGTGGTAGAGTACTCACCTAGCATGCGTGAGGTCTGGGGTTGGATCTCCAGCACCACAAAAGTAAAATTTGAAATTAGTATTATACACAAATTCTAAGATTCTTCAACTACATTTCTAGTATGAGCACTAAGCAGTATATCCACGTGGGCCAGCACAGCTTCCTGGCCATTCTGCACTGCGGAGGTGAGTCCCCACACTGGGTGAGGGTGCCCGGGTCCTACCTTGGAGGAGCTCCACTTCCCTTCATCAAAGACGTCCCCCAGAATGAAGACAACTTCCGGCTGCAACAACCACAGAGCAGTCTGGAAGGCCCTCTCCATTTGCCATTCCCTTGAGGACAACAGGAAAAAATAACCTGTCAAGATGCTCCTTGGCAGAGGCTACTTCCGTCTTCCTGGCCATTTAACAAGTGAAGCCAGGGGGGGCCTGGCTCAGTGCTGGAGTGCTGGCCCAGCAGGAGGGAAGCCCTGGGTCCTTCCTCAGGTCCACAAAGACTAGACGAGTGAGCTGAGTGCTCCCACTCTCCTTCCTCAACCTCACTCTTGCTCTCCCACTCTCACGCCAAAGGGCCACTGAGTCTGAGTCTGACTGAAGTGGGGAACACCCAGGCAAGGTGGCACATGCCCATCATCTCGGCGGGAGCATTGCAAGTTCAAAGCCAGCCTGGGCAACTTAGTGAGACCTTGTCTCAAAATAAAAAGTTAATAAAAAGGGCTAGGGGTGTGGCTCAGTGGGTAAGCACTGCTGAGTTCAATCCCCAGTACCGAGAGAGAGAGAGAGAGAGAGAGAGAGAGAGAGAGAGAGAGAGAGAGAGAGAGAGACCTCAGCTTCAGAGGTGGGGTCTCACTCTGGCCTGGGACTTGTACCTCTGCTGATTCGCAGCCACTGTGCCCCCCACCTTCCTTCTTTCTTCACTCATCCCTGGGGACCTCGCAAATCACCCACCTGCCTGGCCCAAGTTCACCCACATCCACAGCCCTCTGGGCACGCTGCCTCTTGTTAGGATGATAAGGGTCGAAGGGCACAACATAGGGTAGTGAGAGAAAGCAGTGGGGCTCGGGCCAGGAGCAAGGAGAGCCCATCCCTGAGACGGGGAGCTGCCCAGCTCTGCCCACAGATGGAGGAGGAGCAAAGCACAGAGTCTGCACAGGGGAATATGACTCGGCCCTGGAAGGAAAGTCACCCTGAGCCCTGGGCAGCAAGGTGGACCTGGAGGATCTTGGCGCAACACAAGAGACGCAGAATGACTCCATCTGCATGGGGTGTCCAGAGCAGCCAAATCCACAAGCACAGTGAGAACAGCGGTCACCAGGGGTAGGGAGCAGAGGGAACAAGGAGCTGGTGTGTCATGGAGAGAAGGTTCTGGGAGGAGGGCAGGACAGATGCACAACAGCGTGGATGTGCTTCGAGCCACTGTGCGCCTACCATGGTGGGGACGATTAGTGGACACTGTGTGCATCTCACCACACTTACACACAGGCTTTTAAAAAGCCTGCTGGTGGAAAATCAGAAGGTCCACATTGGGGAGGCGGGTGTGACCCTTCCCCAGGGAGCCAGCACACCCCTGAGGCCCAGGGGACTCAAAGTCACACAGTCAGACAGGAGGAAGCCCCGCCCAGGCCTGCCCTGCCCACCAGAGTCACGCCCACCTCCCTCACAGCTATGAGGTCCTCCCAGTCCTGATGGGGGGCCAAGGCCCTGGTAACCCTCTGACTCAGAAAGCCCACCAGCAGCCTAGATCTGAGTCCCTCTGTAGGACAGATGTCCAGTAAACACTAAGTTCAAGGGAAACTCAAATGTCCCCAAATGCCCTTCTTTAAGAGAAAAATAAGAGTAACTCAAAGCCACTCCACCTGACCCATAGGGACAGGGCTACCCCTTTCTGCCTACAGAATTCCAGAACACAGTCCTAACTTCACCTCTTACCTTCGCAGCTTGTCCAGCCAGTGGCCAGTTATTTCCCCGAGCAGGTGGGTATCGGCCAGAAACATGGCCTTCAGCACAGGCCCCCGTTTGCCTGGGGCTGGAGTTCCCACCTCCGGCCAGCGGCACCAGAAGATGACAAGGTAATAGATGAGAAATTCACAAAACAGGAAGGAGGCCAAGGCCACCGCTGTGAGTTTCAACAGCAAGGACCTTTTCCTCCTCGACAGGCAGAAACTGTGCCTCCTGAGCCAGCGCGTCAGAGCCATGTCTCCTGCCCAGGGTCGCCGGCCGCGGGGTCGAGTCCATCAAGAGTTCACCCTGAGAAGGCCGTGGAGCCCGGGAGCGAGAGGCAGCATCCAGCTTTGCTGTGTGCCTACAGGGCAAGGGCGGGACTGGGTTAGGTTCCTCCAAGGGCCAGTATCAGCACCTCCCTCCAGGAGAACCCACTAGGGCCCTGGGACCAGCCAACAGGTAGAGCACACTCGCCTAGCACACGGGTCCTGGGTCCCAGCCCAGCACACAAAAGCAAAGGGATAAGCAGAACCAGTGACCCATACAATCCTAGCCACATTCCCGTCTGGACTTCAACACTGTAGTACACCCAATGTCAGAAGATAAACATTGACGCCTTCGAGTCTCCCTACTTCCGTGTGCCAGAATAACACTGTGAGGTTGATCCTCCCATTAAGATGATCAAAAGGTGTGTGTGTTTGTTTTTCATGTTTTCTGTGGTGCAGGGGTGGAACTCAAGGCCTTGGGCACCCTGGCGAGCATTCTACCTCCGAGCTATACCCCAACCCAAGAAAGTGGAATTGGACAGATACAGGAGACACCATGGAAACCCATCAGGAGGGTGTGTGCTAAAGCCGGGATCTAATGGGAAAAGTGTAATCTGACTCCCAGAAGAATTCACCTCAACCACCCCCATGACCTTAAAAGTCAACAGGGTCCTAAGCCCTAGGATGCGTTGCTTTTGGTGTGACCCCACACTAGGACTCGGCTTTTCCTTAAAAGAAGCATGGACCCTGTGCTTCAAAGTTCCTGGTAATTCATCTCACACTGGACAGAAGCCAGGAGCTCAGAGCCACCCTCCTTAATGTGGATGCTGAATTCTGCAGCTGGATTCTGTTTTCACAGAAATGGTTTCCCCCACAAATTAGGCTTGAATTAGTCTTTATAAGAAATTTATGTACAGTGGCTTCACTTTGAGGTCCTTAAAAATGTTTATGGATTCATCCTGAATTTTAGATGAACTTTCCACCCTCTAAAGACATGGTCTGTTAGCTAGGCATGCCTGTCATCCCAGAGACGTGGAGGCTGGGGCAGGAGGATCACGAGTTCAAGGCCAGCCTCAGCAACTCAGTGAGACCCTGTCTCAAAACAAAAATACAAAGCGCTGAGGATGTGGCTCAGTGGTTAAATGCCCCTGGGTTCAATCCCTGGTATCAAAAAGAAGAAAAGAGGCATCTGTGTTTGAGACTCTGAAGAGCCACATTAGGGGAAGATACCCTGAGATGGGCTCTGAGAGATCCACCTCAAGGTGCTGCAGCTCGGGTAGAAGAGGGGACTCTGAGAAGAGCAGTGACCCACAGGGCTCAGTGACCTGTCAGAGAAGCCCCGAGGTCTCAGGGGACTGAGCAGGGATAGTGAGACAATGGCCAGCAGCCCCGAGGGAGTCCACAGAGGGAGAAGGTCCTCTTCTGCAGAATTTTCTCGTGTAAGTCCAGGAACTTTCCCTGGCTCACAGGCGTGGAGTCAGGAACAACCTCACGTCCACTAGGCCAAAGGGGCATCTCAGAGAAAGCCAGTCTTCAGGATGGTTTCACATTTGATCACAGAAAAGGAAGGACAAACCCCAGACCCTTACAAAACTCCTCGGTTTATGTCACAGTGGTGTTCCATGACAAGCAATCACGAAGATATGGAAAGTCTTCCTAGAGCAGAGTAAGGCCCAGCCGCTTGCACGTGGAGCCATCGTCCAGAGGTAAGGATGTTCCTGCAGAGCGGAGATTCCTGCAGGACCTGGTCAGTAGGGACATGGCCATTGCAGCAGCCCACAGGAGCTCCGTGGCCAGGCTCCAGCCCAGCCCTCAGGGTCCACATGCTAGACCTTACCTGCCCCACCTGAACTTCCTCCTCCCCTCTGTTTTCTCTGAGTGGAACCCCATGGGCCATGAAACCAGAATCACCAGGAACCTTGTCCTCCAACCAGGGACACCTCTGAGATGATGGTAGGCGCAACACAGCAGCGGTGAGCCAGGACTGGCCCAGCGACTGAGGATGTGCAGCACCCTGCACACCACACTGCCCCCAGATTCTAGCGCTGGACCTGAGAACCATGAGCAGAAGATTGCCATCTTCCACTCCATCTGTACCAGGCACAGGGTGCCCATGCAGCCAGGCCTGTGGCCTCTGTACCAAGTACAGGGGTGCCCCTTCAGCCAGGCCTGTGGCACCTGCCTGTCATCCCAGCAACGGGCAAGGCTCAGGCAGGAGGACTGCAAGTTTGAGGCCAGCCTTGGCAACTTAGTGAGACCCTCTCTCAAAACAATTTTAAAAGGGGGCTCGGGGTGTAGCTTAGCAGTAGCACAACCCTGGATTAAATCCCCAGTATCGAGGGGAAATGATGGTACCAGGCCACACTGGTGTGGAGCCATCGTCCAGAGTTAAGGAGATAAGAGAAGAGACAGGCTTAAAGGAATAATGACAGTGTTCCTTTTAGAGCACCCAGTGGCCTTTGTTTGATTAAATCAAACATACCCAAAGCAATTGCTTTGTCTTAATACCTCAGTTTCTTTTAAAAGGCCTAGAATCTCCTACTCCTAAAAGGGAAGCCCAAAGCAGCAGCTGAAACTCCCTGTGGCCCTGAGACCAGGAGGAGTGTGAGGAAGGCGTCCTGCCCTGGCAGGGCTGGGCAGCTGTACAGGTTTCACATTCCCAAGATCAGACACCAGAAGGAAACTCTGACCACTGCTCTCTCTTCCACACCCTCTTCTTTTCTTTTCTTTTTAAATAATTTTTTTTTAATTGTAGTTGGGCAATGCCTTTATTTTATTTCCTTATTTTTATGTGGATTGAACCCAGCACCTCACACAAGCGCTTTGCCGCTGAGCCACAACCCAGCCCCCCTCTTCTTTTCATCAGAGAACCCTGGAGCAGTTATGAGTAAGAGGAGCAAGCAACTCCCAGGTGGGAGAGGCTGCAGGCCAGGAAGGTGACTCTGCCCCAGCTGGAGTTCAGGAGCCAAAGGCACACAAAACCTCTAACCTCCATTGCATTCCCCAGCAACCTGAGCTCTACCTGACCCACTCAGTAGGACCCAAAGGGTTAGCCACCGCAAGGAGGCCATGCTGCCACCGAAAAAAAGGTGAGGGAGGTCCAGACCTCAGACTTCTGGGTTCTTTTTTCCACAAAGAAATAAAAACTGTCCCACAGAGAGTCTTCCAGCCAGAGACGTGGCCAGCAGGAGAGAGAGAGAAGAGGGGAGGGCAGGGAGAGACAAGTGCTGATCTGGAGTTTCTCCAGAAAGCCTAACACCTGTGAATCCACGCTCTGTAATAATGTGATCATTTAACAGAAAAGAGAAATGAAAACCGTATTTAGGCAACTTCTGACACCAGATCCTTAAACAATTGCTTTTGTTGAAATCTTACAAAACTCCTTTTCTTCCTCTACCCAACACTTACTGTTAGTACTTCCAATGTTGTCTGCAATGTTATGTCCAAAACACGCCCTTTTCCTCCTGAATTCATAACAGGACCTCGGAGGCTATTTTAGCTGAAGGCATTGACTCTCTGCTGGGCTCTGCAGGTTCCTGATGGGAACCTTGAAGCAGGACACACTTGGCCCAACCTTCATTCTGCAGCTGTCTCCCTTGGCTATCTGAACTTGGGTCTGATTACTGATCGACTCTGAACCTAAACATGGTAATCCCTTAAGGAGAGACTGTCTAAAAACTGGAAACACGCAGTTGGTCAGCCCTAAACTCACCTAACCTTGCTCTCCCCAATTCAAGGCTGGAGGCACTGAGATAAAGGGGAATGAAGGTGTGTCCAAGATCTGCAGAGACATCATGAGCAGACAGCAGCTTTCAAGACCACCTGCTCTAGACCCCTGTGGCAGCCGCTGGAACAGGAACAGGCAGGCAGCTTGCAGGCAGATCACCCGATGCTGAGACTGCCCCCTCACTGGGAGTAATCGGACTATGACAGTCCCAAGGATGCCCCTAAGCAGGAACCATCATCTCCAGATGGGAACCGACCGCCCCTCATGCAATGAGGACTTCAGCACTTCCCAGACCTGAGACAATGACCAACCAGACCACAGTGTGAGCAAGACCCTGAGTCAAAGACCCCAACTCTTCCCCCGTCTGACCCTGAAGCTCACATCAGTGCCCTGGAGACAGGCTGAGGACGCCTGGTCCCTGATTTCCCAGGAGAGCTATCAGAGCGAGACTCCTCCATTCCTCACCAGCACTTTTCCCACTTGTCTTTTGGGGCTAGAGGCTGCACCTGGTATGTTGGGGCTCCCCAGTTGAGGCCCCCTGGTTGGGACAATGGCAACAAAATGAAGACAAAACCATCTGAAGAGTTGATAGGGATAGAGAGAGGGATCATTCTCTCCCCAGGAGTGGCACCAGCAAGGCTGCCAGGCCTTTCAAAGGCCTTTCAAAGCGAGCCTTAGGAAATGAGAAGTCAGCCCTAATTTAAGGGTAAAAGTGACCTCCCCATTGCACGCACTTCCTGGGCCAACTAGAGGGACAGCTGAGGGGATCCTGCTATGGCAAGCAGGAGCTACACAGACACTCCTGATGAGAAGACCCCTGCAATGCAGCCCTGCCTTCTTGGTAGGAAGGAGGAAGCAGAGCTCTGTGTACAGCTAACAACTCGTTCCTCTTCAAATATTCTGCCTTCTGCTGTAAAGATCCATCAGAAGAGATAAAAGCCACACTGAATGGACGAGAAGCCAGACCCGCAGCCCGGCTCTGTGACCTGAGGCAGGCTGTTCACCCCTTCTGAGCCTCACAACCTACAACACCAACCTCACTGTGTTGTGCAGATTGACAGAAATAATCTACACAACTGTTCTTTTCTAAAAATAATTGTGTGTACATGTGTGTACGTGTGTGTGTTTGCATGTGTGTGCATATGTGTGTGCACTGCGGACAACTGACGCTCCAGTCTCTGCACACCTAGTACGTGATCTACCACTGAGTTACACCAAGTCCTGTAGATCCTTCTACAAAGCAGATGTGTCAGGATTTGGTCTGGAGGTAAACCTCAGCATCCAGTGAACCCCAAAGGGCTTCATGCAATGATGCTCAATTCAAAGGGCCAAAATGGCGGTGGCACACACCTGAATTCCTAGCAACTTGGGAGGATAAGGCAGGAGGATCGTGAGTTCAAAGCCAGCCTCAGCAACTTAGTGAGACCCTCGGCAGCTCAGAGAGACCCTGTCTTTAAATAAAATATAAAAAGGGGGTAGGAGATGTGGCTCAGTGGATTCAATCTCTGGAACCAAAGGACCAAAATGGAGTTTGGGAGAATGAAAAGGCTGAGGACTGAAGACAGCTTAGGGGCTGTGGCCACCAGGCCGAGCAGCTCCTTGACTTTCTGAGTCACCTGTCATGTGAACCTTCAACTTTGCCTCAGCCAAGGCTCTAGACCTCCACCCCTGCACAGCATGCGAGGAAGTGAACACGCCACTCCCGAGCCTGGCTCTTACAGGACAAGAAGAGAAATGGGCCTCTTTTCCTGAGACTAAGTGAGCAGGGATCTGGCCTTCCCCAGAGCTAAGGGAGTGCCTGAGGCCCAAACAGTACGGTCTCAACCTGCCCACACAGGAAAGATGGGGAGATGTGGGCACTTATCTCGAATCATTAAACCGTACAACTAAGAAACAAGAGGTTTGGACAAAGAGCACACACTGTGTGCTACTCTCCCTATGATTAATGAATGAATGATTCTATCCATACTAGGAGGATTCCTGTGTTTGCTGCTGTACTGGGGATTAAATCCAGGGTGCTCTACCACTGAGTTACACCCCCAACCCTTTTATTTTATTTTATTTTGAGACAAGGCCTTGATAAATTGCTGGGGCTGGCCTCAAACCTACAATCCTCCTGCCTCAGCCTCCAAAGCAGCTGAGATGCCAGAAGCGCATTAGCAGATTTGGGATTAAAAATCAAAATTACTTACTTATTTCACTTTAAAAGCTCAAGTTGCCAGTTTTATTATCAAATGATAACCCAAGAGAAACTTCACCATCATATGGTCTGTATAGCACCATTTGAGCTGGCCTAGGATTGCAAGTTAACAGGTACCTGTCTGGACTCCTCCTGACAGGTGTTAAACAAGGCAACCAGACTGGACTGTGAAGGCCCTGAAGGCCCTCTTCAGAACTGGAATGCTGACCTTGTTATGTTCTGATTTCTATCACATATCTACATTTTACTCCTATTGTCCCATGACAACAACAATAACAAAAGAGCAAAACAAAAATCCCAACTTGTTAACATCTATCGCAGAACTTTTCAAAAAGCTTAAAGAGACTCATTATTGGTTTATGAAATCAGTTTCATGATTTGTGACCATAATTTTTAAAAAGTAAAATAATAATAGAAAATACTAGCTTGTACAGTAGGGACAAGGTGTAGTCAAAGTTAATTTGATGAAACTTCTGTTCCCATTTTAAAACACCTGTATCTATGAGTACTGCTCACAATACAAAACACACTTCACTCTGCGTTAAGGGTTGGGGACCTTGCACGTGACTGAGTCAGACTCCCCAGCTGGGTGCTGAGGTGCTCAGTCACAGAAATGTGGCAGAGCTTTCCCCATGACCTTCTTGGGTTCAAGGGACGGTGTCTTGTGCATAGGTGTGTCTTGCTACAGCCCTATGGGTGATGCTATGCTCACCTGTTTCTTTGTAATATAACCCCTTGCCCTGTTTAGGATAGAATCTTCCATGGAAGTGCCTTGTGTGTGTCCCCTTCTCTTAGTGAGCCCTTGGGTGTGGCCTACCCAGATGTCAGTCAACCTGCTAACAGTGGACATCATGAAGATAGACTCTGCCCCCTGGAACCTGACCCCTTGCCTCATTTGAATAGCTTCTCCTCAATAAAAGGGGTCAGCAGGTGTGCTCTCCCTCTCTCTTCCTGCGGACCCTTAAGGTCAGAGGAGCCATCACAGCGACCCCAAAGAAAAAGGTATTTGTGTCTCTTGTGTGGTTATTTTGTACAGCCCAGTTAGCCCAGTTTACCTGGAGTGACCCCTGAGCCTTTTAATCACGAGAACAGAAACCTGGCACTCGAGTACTTGCCTAGCATGCTGGGAACCAAAGCTTGGATCCCTAACACTGGGAAAAAAAAAGTGTAGATTTAGATTTAAAAGGAAGCCCTCACACAGGACAGGCTATATGGGCAATGACCAAACAGACTGCATTTTACCCTGAGACTCCATCATGTAAGAAATACTTATCCCTTAAGAAAGCCAGTCTCTGTACCCATTAATAGTTTCCTAGCACAGCATACTTGGCAACACAAAGTAGCAATCCTTATACAATGTAAAATTGTTCTCTTTGTTTCCATTTTTCTTGGGCAATATCAGAGATTGATGTCTAGACATTAGTAACCATTCTCTAACTTGTGATGAACTAGGGTCATTTTGATGCACTTCTGCTTGCTTGCTGCTGTGCCAACCTGGAAGTCCCGTGGGAAATACCAATATACCCCATTGCATTGTCTCACTAACTGTCCAATTCTGTACCTGTTTGCTTGCAGCTATATCAACCTAGATGTGGTTTTTGCCTTTAAATATCCTAAAATGTTGAAGCTCGAGGCTGTTCCTTACACAGAAAGTTATGGGTCCTGTAGAGAGCAGTCGATGACCAGCCAGATAAATAAAGACTCTTCAATTTGGACAAAATTGGGACTTCATGTGTTTTCTGAGCGACCTGCCCCACAACATCTGCACTCTGCTGTTGAGATCACCCCATGACCAGGATGCAGCATACACACAGCGAGTGCTCACAGAAATCTGTTGATTCAATGGCTTTCAAGTAGTCTCATTTTACCAAACATTTGAGAATTACAAAATACACGTGCTCACCCTTTTGTTCTATCACCTTTCTGTAAATACTTAAAAGTCCACAGTCATATAAACAGGAGGAAAAGAAGTCATTCTTTCTGCCTTTGATAAAAGTATTTAAAGAATGGAAATGGGCTAGGGATGCAGCTCAGTGATAGAGCGCTCGCTTCACATGCACAAGGCCCTGGGTTCCACTGCCAGTGCTGGGGGGGGGGGGGGCTGGCAAACAGGTGCAGCCACCCCTCTATGTGGCTGGAGAGGAAGAGCTAAGGCACTCACCCATTGATTGGAGAGAAGAGGGACAATCTTCCCTTGAGCCTCTTTAGAGAACTTTTTCCTCAAAGAGCTATAAATAGAAAAGTGACCTGGGGACCCAAGCTGTTTGGAAGTCCATTATCCCAGTTGCAGATCTCACAAGTCACCACACACCATCCAAAAAGCTAACAGTGTCCTATGTGAGAGCTTCGTTTTAAATCTAAATCTATGCTTTTTTTCCCCAGTGTTGGGGATTTAAGCCTTGGTCCCAGAATGCTAGGCAAGCACTCGAGTACCAAGCTAAATCCCCAACCCTTAAATCTATTACATATATATATATATATATATATTACATATTTAATATATATTCATTTTAGTTGTAGATGGACCTTTATTTTATTTATATGTGGTGCTGAGACTCAAACCCAGGGCCTCACACATACTAGGCAAGTGCTCTACCACTGAGCCACAACCCCAGCCCCTATTACTTTTTATATTTAAATAAGAAAAGGAGGAAGAAGAAGGAGGAGGAGGAGGAGAGGAACAGGATGAACAGGAGGAAGAAAGCTTTGGGAGTCTGGCTTCTCAGGAGAACCCATGAATCTCATCACCTTTTAAAGAATGAGAAAAACATGTTTAGTTGCTGAATGGTTTTCATTTAGTGAACTACTGTCAAGAAACCTCACCAACCTTGAGAGTAAAACAGCTGAGAACATAAGGAAAAGGACTGGGTTCCATCACCCAGTAACCCCTACCCCCATGTAGCTGGGGGGGGGGGGGTAAGCCTTCTGCACAAGGCCCTGGATTCCATCCCCAGCACGGAAAACTACAAGTAAGTCTTTCAAATTATAAAATACTTGGGCTCAGAAAGTATACTTCATTGTTCTATACTGCCCAACACAGAAAAAAAGAGCTGCAAATGAAAGTAAAGTATTTTATCCATCGACTGACTTCTAACTTCAAAGCTAATATCCAAATCCTACCCCCAAATAGCCAGGGGGAAAAATAGCATTTAAATACACTAAATATGTAGTTTCTTCTCTTAATTGTTCATTATCTTAAATACATTATTATCACAATCTCTTCGATGGCTATTTGCATGTGAAATCTTTCATCTTAAATGTTATTTTAAAATAAGAGCATTTTTATTCAATCTACATGGATAAATTACGGAGCGAGAGGCCCCTACAATTTAACATACGACCTTTAGTCATCCAGAGTTTCCAGCAAATAACTCGTTACAGAAAGCTGCTTTTTCCATAGGTTTATTTGCAACCCCAAAGGACCATAAAGTTCCATTTTGCAGTGATAAAAAATTAGCTATGACCCTTGAAGTTCATCCTGACACGAGGATACTTACAAAACCCCAGAGCGCCGGGACCCCGCGGGCCCCCGGAAAGGCCAAGCCCGGGGGCTCTGCTGTCCCCCGCGCCGCACCAGGCCGGCTGCCTCGCAGCTGGGCGGAGCATCCCGCGGCCTTCCTGTTTCCGCAGCGCCTCTGCAATCACTGTTGCCAGGAACCCCACCTCCGCCGCCCCGCCCGCCAGGGAACCGAGTCCCCGCGCGGCCCACGCTCCCCGGCCCGGCGCCCGCGTTCTGAAACGCGGGCTGCGGAGGTGGCCCGGCCGGCGCGCCCCGGGCGCCGCGGCCGGTGCTCCCGGAGGAAACCCAGCTGGCGCTCCGCGCGACCCCATAGAACGGATCAAAATAAAGGCACAAGCGTACCCGGGCCGCGCCGTGCGCGCGGGCCGCGGCGCTGGCTGCCCCGGAACCTCGGAAGTCGCTGCCCAGGGCTAGGGCGAAGGAGGGAGCCCGGGAACGTCCCGCGGGACAAGACAGGGCGAGGCGAGGCGCCCTCGGGAGGTCGTGGGCGCCGGGGACCGGCCGGTGGAGAGGAGCCCCGGAGCCGAACTGTCCGCTCCGCGCGCCCGCAACGGCGGCCCCCGCGCTCGCGCGCTCCCGCCCGGAGCCACCAGCGCGAGTGGCAGCTCCGGCCTGGGCCGCATCCCGCCTCGAGTTCCTGCCGTTGCCCACTCGGGGCGCGCCCGGCCCCTGCGCCCCAGTCCCGAGGCCGCGCGATGGGCGCCCTGCGCCTGGCCCGGCTGAATGGGCCGGGGCCGGCTGGCTGCAGACCCGAGTCGAGGAGTGGCCACCTTGGCAAGGGCTGTTGTAAAATGTCCCTTTGCTTAGGAGATTGGTTGAAGGCCCTTCACTTGGGCCTGCACAAATGTCTGATGGCTAACCGTTTGAGCGACCTTTCACGTGTGAAGGCAAAAAAGCCACGCTGGGATGGACTAAGGCAGCGGTCTTCCGAGTGTGCGCCTGGAGATCAGCCTGGACATTTACGCATGCCCAGACCTGGCGCTTGGCGTCAGTTCACCGCTCACCTTTCCCCTCACTTGCCACCCCTGCTGCTTCATCCCGTGTGTGTCCCCAAACTCTAACTCTGGAGGGTGGATTTGAGCCTGGGGCCCCTTCCTCCACACACTTGGACGCCTCGGGAATGAACTCTGCAAAATTGATGGCTTTAGAATTGGCATGCTGGGCGACAGGCAGAACAAGGCTGGAGTGGTTACCAAACTTATAAAACAGAGAGTTAATAAAATAAAAAAAATTTGAGAAAACTATTTCTGAAAATAGATAAATATAGAATAGTTTAACATAGACCACAATATTTTGACCTCGGTTTTTTTTCCCCAAATAGCATATTAAGCATCGAATAAATAATTCGCACCTTGTCAAATTCACCACAATAAACAAGATTTTTTTTTTCAGTGCTGGGTATGGAACCCAGGACCTTGTGAATTCTAGGCAAACACACATAACCCTGAGCTACAACATAGCCTAGGCCTGTAATATTTTTTATCCCAGTGTACAATAAGGAAGCCATGAAAATCCCCTCCTTTCCAATAAGAAATGGTATTTGAGAGCCCCAGAAGATGAAGCCCAGAGGCAAGTCTTACATTTTAACCATGTTTACAAATAAAAAGACTAGGATATATTGTAGCATATATATATATAT